CTTGTTTTGAGTGTATTTACCTCTTCGTTACCGGAAAGATCCTTACTCGTTTTGTCCAAACTAATGGATTCATAAAAATTCAAATTTCGGAGAGACAACTTGCACATGGTACACGTTATTTTAAATTTTGTTTCAACTATTCCACTATTTATGTTTCCATGTGTCTAACAGTCGGTTGCTGATTAGTTTTATAATTTTTTAAAGGTAATATATGTTTGAAATATATGAAAATTGAAACTATTTTATTATATATTTATTGTTTTTCAAATTTAAGATAAATAATTTAAATAGTATCTATTTATCGGACCTGAAAATTTTACTTTATATAAAAAATTATTAACAATATAAGAGTTGACATACAATTTAATTTGACATAAATAAATATAATATAATAATTAAGCTAGATCTGTTTGATTAGACAAATAATGATTTGATGCAACAGTAGTTTGTACTCAAATTTTATTTTATACAAAAATTTATTAGTGAGATTAGGTCTATTACTTTTATAAATATTCCTAACTCAAATCAAAAAATATGATACTTGTCTCTAAAAAAATAAGTATTTCCCATATAGTGCACACAAAGTTATATTAAAAAAAATTATAGAAAGATTTTTATGTGGATTGAAAAACAGTTTGGCTACATGTTCTTACTTAGAGTAAGAACATTTAATCCGCTTTCTTATTATTTGTAATATTTACTACATACTATAAATATTTATAACGATATTAATATGAACCTACATTCACTACAAATTTTAATATAATAGAAATTAAAAATATTAAGGGAAAAATAGAGAATTAAAAATTAGTCTATAGTAGTAATTCCATCGTTTATCATCTCTATAAAATAAACATATTAATAAAATAAATCAAAAAAGTTCAACTACAGTTTTCTAAATTAATTTTATTGAATCAATCAAAAAAGTTCAACTTCTGTTCTTAATATTTTTTTAGAATTTTAAGCTACAAGTTAATTAAATCATATTAGAGTCTATTTTTTAGCAATTTTCTTCCATAGAAACGTGTTTCTTATTATTATTTTTTTTATTTGGTTAAACTTATTCTACAAACATTTATGTGGAAAAAATCAATATTATAAAAACCACACCACTTATCCTCTCTACTAATTCAACCGGTGAGTGGTAATTAAATGGCATACGGATTCAACTATCCATATATGAAATTATTATTAATATTTATTCATTTATTGGTGGTTTATAAAAGGTTGTACTAATAATGTTATAAAAACGGTACCGTACCAGCCGGTTCAACCGGAAAACCAGTGAACCGGACCCCTAACCGATATGGTACATATGTTACATTGCATATGCAATAGAACTGGTGAAAACCGGTCAAAACCGGTGAACCAGTTAAAACCTACATAATATATTTTTTTTTAAATTCGTCCCCGAAACGACATCGTTTAGGGGCAAGGGTTTCCTTCATCCCTGAAAAGTGAAAATACACTGCCTCACATTTCAAATTTCCAATTTTTCACCGATTCTTCAACTTCAATGATTGATACTTGTGTCATTTATTTGTATTTGGCGTTTGTTAAGTGGTAATTTTGGATTGATATATGTTTTGCACTTTAGACTTTGATTTTGTTAAAAACTTAATGTTGTTTGTTTGTGTGAATTTGAAGTAGATTATGAATATAGATTATAAATTTGAATACTTACTTATTTGAAATTTTTTATTATACGGTATGTCCGGTTTAACCGGCATGCGGTTTAATTACTGAACCATCGGTTGAACCACTGTACCACTATACTAGTAACCTGACCGGATTCATAACCGGTAAAGTTTTAATAACATTGCAACTAATAATGTATATACTAAATGAAATTTCTCGCTTAACTTTATCCTTGAAGAATATTTAAAAATCCAAAAAATACAAAGTCTAGATAAGGGACGTAGTACATTTAATATAACGGCAAGTTAGCTTAGTTGTTAAAATTGCACGACAAATAAGCATAAGAGTTTGAGTTCAAAATGCATGGCAATACAAACACTATATAAACTTTTTTCTTCTATCGCAAATGCTTCGAAGTGTGCCTACTTTTTTCTTTGTTATGTCTTCATTGCAAATGATTTTATGTGCTCTTTCATGCTATCACATAGTTCTCAAGTGCATTATTCTATTCTATCAAATTGTGCATTATACCCTAGTTTAATGATCTAGACCAAATTGTAGCTTTAGTATTTTTTTGGTGTTAACAAAGACATTCCTTCAATTTATTGATAATGACTCATGTGTTAATGTTGCACATTTTTATTCTAACAACTTGTACAAACCATTCAACCATCCATTCATTAAACATGAAATGCTAAACGACTAATTAATAGCCAAATATATGGAACAACACTCTTTAAATTCCATGTTAGTTGTTACCATTGCGTAATTCCAACTAATTAACATGTTAGATGAAAAAGCTTGTTACTTTAGAGAAAATGGAGTTGTAAGCAAGTAATTCTTGGACATACATGTATCTCATTAGTGACACATATTGCAATTAGTATTTTAAATTGTATCTACAACGGACATATGACTATAATATTGTGATTTTGGGAATCTCAGTATTGTAACCGTAGTTGCAACAACATTTTTCCGCAATTGCTATAAGCAACTCAACATGACTATAATTGTCAGTGTTTTAAATTGCGATCGCGATTGTGGTAATGGTTATGATTACTTCGATTGTGGTCATTGCGGTCGTTGCGATGCGGATTGCGACCGTTGCGGTGTGAATTATTGTGTGATTAAAACAATATTTTTGAATCTGATGCGGTCCAAATACGGCCCGATGCGGTTGCGTTGCAGCCCGATGCGACCGCATCATTGTGACTCAGAATCACACCACAATTGCAGTGTAATGCGGTTGCAGAGGTCAATGCTATATTGCACGGACGCAGTAATGCGGTCTTTAATTTAAATCACTGATAAACGCAAATTCAAAACAGTGATTGTGACCGATGAAACAAAAGAAATGGAAGACCTTTCGCAGCAGTAAAAGATGAATAGGGATCCCATTTTGTCCAAACCCAATTGAAGGGTGTCATTTAATTGAAAAGAAAAATATAAAAAACATATGATTGATTTGGTACATATATAGTACATTTTGGGGACAAAGTATCCTCGTTCTTAAAAGATAGCATGAGTTTTTGCCCACCTTAAGTTTTTGCTAAATTCAATGACATCAAAGAGTAGAAAGATTTTCATCACATTCTTTCACTTGGGCAACTTCACTCCTTTAACATTACAGAAAGTAGAAAACAAACATCATAACTACCTAAACACACATATTCATAAACAAGAAACACCTAAACTTGTTGCACATAAAACATGAATGGCCACATAAAATCAACATTTTCACTCATTTAACTAAAAATATAAACTTAATTTAGACCTCTATAAACTTATGATGGAAAAACCAGTGAGATAGTTTCTTCTTAATCTTCTTCTCTTTAATAGTGTCCAAGCTAGGTTTCCACCCTTTCCCTGATAACTGTCTACTCAAATATTCAGGCCTCCCTTCAACCATTTCTTCTAAATACTCAGAAAAATCACAACTTTCTTCTCTATTCTCTATTCCTTCCTTTCTTTTCAATACTTTATTATCATCTCCAATTATTCTACTATTATGGCACAGCCTTGCAAGCCAAGGAAGAAACCCTGAAGAAGACATGAGATACTTGGAATGCAAAGAAGAATTAACAATGAAGAGTATGTGGTGCAACCCTACAGGCTTTCCTTGCTTCAATGGAAGCATTAGGTATATCTTTTTCATCTCTAGGTTATTGTCTGCAGGTAATGGAATTGGTGGCTTTTTTTGGTTCATTGTTGAATGGAACTCAACCACTACTTGTTGTGGGTGCTCCAACATGAGTTCTGCAACAGTTAATGGTTGGTCAAATTCTTGAACTGATCCATCATAGTAAACTATTTTGCCAGTGGGTTTTGATGGATGAAATGAGATATGGTTTCCCATGAGAGACTATTTGGTTCAATTGAAGGTTTTGTAAAGGAAGATAGAGAATGAGAAGAAACTATATGTTGTAAAGTTTAATGACATATATAGGATGTGAATTTTGATATATTGGGAGGTTGGGCAATATAACAAAGAAAAACATGAATGTCATGGATAACTTATTCTAGCATATACAACAAAAACGATGAAGAAAATATTTAAAAAAAAATTAAATTATGGCAACTCTTATATTATTAATAACTTTTTATAAAATATAAATTACATCAATTCATTCATGGATTACTAATTATATATCATTTGTCTCAAATTTTATTTTGGACCTATATTATATCAATATTGGTATGTATAATTTAACATCAAGACAATGCTACCTTCACAACCTATACACCATTTTACTATCACAATGCTACCTTTACAACCTATACACCATTTTACTATTCACATGGGTATGATATCAAACATTGGTCATTCAAAAATTTGAAGTATCATTTGATTAACTATAATTTAAATTATTTGACTTTCTAAAAACGATTTTATCATAATGTTATGTGAGAATGTGTATTAGGTATTCTTGTGACAGGATTTGATGATGTTTGTTAAACCGTTCCATCACGTGACAAATATAATGTGATGGTGGACTTGGTAGCTTGATTTGGCTGGGTTAGTGGGTAGTTACAATTAGGCTACTATTACTCACAATTTTGACTTAGAAAACGGGTTGTCTCCCACATTTATTAATTTATTTCCTTGAAATAGTATGATCCTTAATTTTATATAATTTCTTATGTGTGATATTTATTTATATTGTGGTTGATCCCGTTGACTTAGGATTAGACAGTTCTTAATCTTGCCAACTTCATTTACCTAACAGGAAAATGAATTCAAGGAACCGTTCAACTACAACTTCATCAATTAATTTGATTAGATAATTATGGGTGGTATGGGAAGCAGTACTACTTATTTAGTTGAACATGATAATCATGTAAGAAAATTATAGACATAAGCATTATTTTCCAAGAATGTAATACCATAATTTTCTAATTTGCGAGCTACTACTTAATTTTGTTTACTAGTTATTGTACTTACCTTTTAGAAGTTGTGATGATGTATGACGACTTCAGTTTAGAGGTCGGTATGGGAGAATACAACTTCCAGTGAATCTGAAGTTGGCATGGCTCATAACGACTTCAGTTTAGAAGTCGGTATGCCAAAATACAACTTCTGGTGAGTCTGAAGTTGGTCAGGATCATAACGACTTCAGTTTAGAAGTCGGTTTGTCAGTGTACAACTTCTGGTGAGTCTGAAGTTGGTCTAACCCATAACGACTTCTATGTAAAAGTCGGTTTGCTAGAGTACAACTTCTGGTGTCTAGACTGAAACTGACTTTAGTGTTAGTGTTGAAAGTTAAGATGGCTCATAACGACTTGTGTATTTGTGATAGAAATTATTAACCTTAAAATGTGAATCACCTTCCCGTTAAGTTGAGTTTGGCATACTGTGAGCAATATATGCTTCTTGGAAGGATAACGTATTGAAGTATCCCTGAGGTTAGTTTTATGTTTATTCATTCTTTAGTAATTTTATATGGTTTACTATTTTTGTTATGATAAATTTATTGATTTTTTGTTTTTATTTTTGAAAACTTTTTATTTACTAGATGGAAGAAGAATTCAACAACAATGATGAAAACTACTACCATGAAGTACGAATTTTGAAAGCTATATTTTGTTTTTGTTTGTTATTTTTATTTTAGTCATGTAAATGATGTATTTTAATCATTTTAGGATGTAGATAAATTTGATATTAGTGAAGATAAAAATATGAATGAAATAGAGAATTTTGGTTTTGAAGAAATTGATTTTTGATTATTAAACGAAGATGAAGTGAAAAAGCTTAGGTCTTTAAAAAAATGATGTTGCATACAAATTTTATAAGATGTATAATATAAAGAAAGGATTTGGCATGAGAAAATATCATACCCGTCGGGACAAAGATTGTGAAATTATATGGCAATTATTTTTCTTTGATAGAAAATGATTTAGAGATAAAAAAAATGATTTGGTGTGGAAGAGGGCGCCCAGAAAAAGGAGATTCATATGTTAGTTATTTTGCTGATAAACATAGCCATGAACTGCTTGATGAACATTATTATGGTGGGATGATAATTTCTAACTGAAGAATGACATATAGAGATGTCTCTCGTATGAACAAAAATTTTATGGCAAGCTTTTTCACTTCATCTCTCGTGAAATTTTTTGATTCATTTGCTGGTCAATGTGGGGGGGGGGGGGGGGGGGGGGGGGAGGTTATTGGTATATTGGATTTTCTAATAAAGACATGTACAATCAAATTCAGAACCAAATAAGAATCGAAAATAACGACACGGAAGCATCATTACAATACTTGAAGAGCAATCAAAATCAGATTATGCAATTATTCTGGGAGGATAATGTGTCATTTTCGACTACTGAATTTTTGGAGATGTCCTTGCTTTTGATGCAGCTTAAGGTCGAAACAAATAAAAATTTCAATCGTCATATTTTCTGGTGTAAATCATCACAAGCAAACAACAATGTTTGTTGTTGTTGTCGTGTCAAATGTGACAGGGCATCCATATGTGTGGCTTTTAGAAAACCTTTTGGAGGCGATGAATGGAAAACAACCAAAGTGTGTTATCATAGATAGGACTTGTCGATGAAGAATGCAATCAAAAGAGTTTTACCTGAAGCTCACCATAGGCTATGTGCTTGGCATATATGTGACAATTATGGGAAAAATATAAAGAATATGAACTTTTATAAGGACTTGCAAAAAGTTATGTATGCTCATTTGAGAGCGATGATTTTAATATGATGTGGGAGGAACTTATTACCAAAAAGGGACTTCAAAATAATGCTTGAATGACTCAAATATTTGATTGTATAAGTATGTGCAGTGGGTTAGGTCTTACATTCGGTGAAAGTTCTATGCCAATTTGCATATGACTTCACGTTGCGATGGATTATATTCACAGGTGGAGATGTACATAGAATCTAGGTATAATGTGACCGAGTTTTTGCATCATTTTCAACATTGTGTAAGCCACATGAGGAACAATGAGGTTGTGTAAGATTTTAAATCTTCATATGATGATGAGTTGTTACAAACTTCTTATCATAATTTGGAGGATAATATATACTAGAGCGATGTTCAAAGATTTTCGAGAAGATCTGCTAGGAGCTGTAAAAATGAGGATAATTTTAACCCACCAAATCTCAAGTCACGTAATATACAAGATTAGAAAGCATTACAGTCCGAACAGGAAATGACATGTTTCACATTATGACAATGGTTCTAACTTGGACATTAAATACTCATGTAAAATAATGTAATCTTTTGGGATGTCATGTAGTCATAGTATTCTTGTGTTACTAATTCTGAACATATCACATTTGTCATCTTGTTTGGTTCTTGAGAGATGGACAAAGAAAACAAAGGATGTTCAACGTGTGAATTTCCAACAATGTGACCTAAGTAAAGAATCAGTTCATAGCATATATGGAGCTTTGAGTGATGGTTGTAGAGTGTTATATAACCTTGGGGTGTGTTAGACTCCGATTGAAACAAAATTCCAATTCCATGGAAAATGTTGACAATGCTACTAAAGAGTAAGTAAGAGACACAGTTCGGGTGAGTGCTAAAGGACATGTTGCTGGGATGAGCTCAAGAGGTAAGGGAGGTAATCAATATGGTATATGTTGAGAAATTAGTCACAATAGGGCAAATTGTCCAATTGTTGTTGGTAGTTCTGGTAGTAATTTTTTTTGTAAATGATTTGGAAGAATGATTAACATTAATATGATGTGTTATTACTAATTTTATGTGTGTATATATACTAAGCTTATTAAATTCATTAGATCATTTTGAAATAAATTCAAAAAAATTCAATGGTTGGAATTAAACCCACGTCATTAAACCCAATTAAGGCAAATGCCATGTTATTAAACACTTAACCTACATTTATGTTTTAATTGATTAGTGATATTTTATTTCATATAATATAAATGTCATAAGACATTAAAACTAATGAATGTACTAAATTTTATGTAATAGACAAGAATGTCCAAAAAGTATTTATTTAGTCAGTTAATATCATTATAAAAATTATTTTAAATATAAAAACGAAATTAGATGATTTTAAAGTACAATAATATTAAGTTTGATTCATATTAAACTACATTATAACTAGCGCTATAGAAAAGTTCATTACAATCGGTAAAAATAGTGACTAATACATAAAAAAAGTCATTACAATATTTCAAATTATCAGTGTGTTTTATTATCAATTTCCTCTTCAATCAACTTTCCTTATTATATTAAAAAATAGCAAGGTAGTTGAATTCTTTAAGTACGATATCACATGTACAATTTTGGCTTCTTACGGGAAAGACTTTGTTGGTAGAAATAAATCTTACTTCAATTATTTTTACCTTTCTCCAAAGAGATTAGTTTTCAACTATATGGTAGGAAATCATTCATACATAAAAAAGTCAATGATAAAACAATTAAATTGCAAAAATCTAAAAAATTATATGATATTAGATAGAGGTAACAAAATTATCCATAATCTATCCAAATTCAGGAAAGTTAAATTCACTCATTAAAGTTAATGGATTTAGATGGATAGTTGTACTAAATGATGCATTCATATTCATCCATTATATCTAAATAGATATCCATAGATACATTTATTTGAATGAATATAAAATTAATCCACAAAACAAACATTTACAAATGTTGTCCTTCACTGTTCATTTTCATTTTCATTCATAATCTCAACTCTCACTTTCTTGCAAGTGTTTCTTATTCTTACTTTGATTTTTTATTAAATTCATGTATTGTCCTACACTCTTAGTAATATTTGCTTAGATAATGATAGGATCAATGATATGACATGTGAATATAGTTAATAGTAAAAATAAATTCTTAAATACATAACATATCTAAATATCTGTTAAAAAACTTTACACGTGAAACCTTAAATGATACATTATTGTAGAATATTATAAAAAAAATTGATTTTTTTTAAATTCAAAAAATCACTTTTTGTTTCTCTAAAAGATTAGAAAGTTCTTTTTAAAAGTGACTTTTTTAAAAAGTTATATTTTTAAATTCTCTAGTGAAATAGAGGTTTTTTAAAATGATGATTTTTCAAAAGTGATTTTAGTTCTAATTAAAACAATCAAATGAATTGGATATCAATCTATTAAAATGGATGGATGAATTGAAATATATTCATTAAATTTGAATATGGATGAATTGAGTAATTTAAAATATGATTTAATGAATTTATATGAATTTACAGATGCCTTTCCATCCAAATTCGTCCAATCTATCCAAATCCGCTCTAATACCATGAAGAAGTTTAGGATGACAAAAATTGATTCAAACTCAAATATGAGTGAGTCTAAATAATTTATTATATAGAGAAAAATCATTTGTAACAATAAAATAATAACAATTGAAATAATAATTAACCAGATAATCATAAACTATAAATAAATCCGGGATAATGACTTATTAATCTAAATATCATCCAACTTCATGAAGCCATATATATATATATTTTATTTTTTATAAGTAAAAGTATTATAAAAAGGCACAGGGGGTGCCAATCCGATTATAGGTTACACACAAGATCCAAATAAGAAGAAGGATTAATGCATCATTGTACAAAAGAGTACAAATTAACACCCACGTGGTTTTAAAGCCATAGCCAAGATCTAGTTTGAATCAAATCCATGATTTGAATGTAACTCGACCTCCCCTAATTGTGTTATAGTCATTATGTATTTATTGGGCGAAATAAAGTTGCTCCATTGTTGGAATTTCTGACAATTTATGGGTCACAAATATAATTCTATAATTGTGTTATAGTCATTATGTATTTAGCCAATATATATAAAATGGTCTTATGGATTAATTTGGTGGCTAAGGGCATATGTGTCATGAAATATTATGAGTGTAGATACCTTCGGGCAATTTCTAGTTTGATGAAGGGACTGAATTATAACATTGCAACTTAAGTGGTAACCGTTAATGTTACCTTTATGGGTTATGGTCCCCAGTTGCAGAGCAACGGGTTTTATTGAGTAACTGATGTTATAAGGGTTGGTTTATGAGGATATGTGACATAAGTCACCAAACCAACATATATAAGGAAAAGAGAAAGGCATAAGGTAGAGCACTCTTATTCCCACAAAACATCCAGGAACATCAGGAGCACTCTCGTTCTCTCTGGATTCCCCTCTAGCGGAGCGAACGGAAAACCATCAGACTCTAGCAACCGGAACATCCTACAACCCACATACCTCGGAGCATTCGGAATGGCTAACCAAGGTATGCGTTTTTCTTCTTCACTATGAAACCAATTGGGGTTTTCTTCGGTCTGGATTAGGATTGTTCCATTAGGGTTTATGTATGGGCATAAACATTTGGTTTCGGAACAATGTCCTAATCATTCGATTTCGGGGATACGATTAGAATTAATCGAAATATATCCAACATCCATAACTAGCAACTAAAGCGATTGGCTTAATGGTAAACGAAATATCATAAATTTGCATCTTGTAAGACGGTGTTCAACTTAATGTCATTTCACCCAAGATGAAAGGGACCATGCTTGTATAACTTTGCATTCTTTAATAATTGAATGAATATTTTCTTTTTCACTCTTGATTTCCTCTTCATTCTCTTTTCTTCTTCTTGTATTCATAGTGAGGATTGTTGCAAACATGGGGTTTTCATTTCCAAGACTCCATGTCTCTCGAGGGCGAAGAAAGCTTAAAACGATTTCATCTTCAAATGAAAGAAGTTGTTTTCGTTATAAATCATCGAATCGATGAAGGTAAAATGTTCATTAATCGCCACAAAATCTTCAAATAATTATTACTTTACTAATAATATATGTATATGATAAATTTGTAACTAAAGTTCAATTTCTAAAATTCATTATGAAATAAGAAGATAGATTGTATATAATCTCAATGTAGTAAAAAATTAAAGTAGTTAACTTAAAATTATAAGTATGAATATGCCGCATGATAGATATCATATATCAATTGTCACCCGCATTTTTTTCGATCAACAAAAAATATAAACAAAAAGTTAGTCATTTTGGCCCATGCAGGAACCTTCGCGTTATTAGCACGACGCTCTAACCAACTGAGCTAATGGGCCATCATATATATGATAAATTTGTAACTAAAGTTCAATTTCTAAAATTCACTATGAAATAATAAGATAGATTGTATATAATCTCAAAGTAGTAAAAAATTAAAATAGTTAACTTAAAATTAAAAGTATGAATATGCCGCATGATAGATATCATATATTAATTGTCACCCGCATTTTTTCGATCGACAAAAAATATAAACAAAAACCTACTTATTTTGGCCCATGCAGGTCTCGAACCTGCGACCTTCGCGTTATTAGCACGACGCTCTAACCAACTGAGCTAATGGGCCATGATATATATAATAAATTTGTAACTAAAGTTCAATTTCTAAAATTCACTATGAAATAATAAGATAGATTGTATATAATCTCAAAGTAGTAAAAGATTAAAATAGTTAACTTAAAATTAAAAGTATGAATATGCCGCATGATAGATATCATATATTAATTGTCACCCGCATTTTTTCGATCGACAAAAAAAATAAACAAAAAACTAATTATTTTGGCCCATGCAGGTCTCGAACCTGCGACCTTCGCGTTATTAGCACGACGCTCTAACCAACTGAGCTAATGGGCCATCATATATATGATAAATTTGTAACTAAAATTCAATTTCTAAAATTCACTATGAAATAATATAGATTGTATATAATCTCAAAGTAGTAAAAGATTAAAATAGTTAACTTAAAATTAAAAGTATGAATATGCCGCATGATAGATATCATATATTAATTGTCACCCACATTTTTTTGATCGACAAAAAATATAAACAAAAATTACTTATTTTGGCCCATGCAGGTCTCGAACCTGCGACCTTCGCGTTATTAACACAACGCTCTAAACAACTGAGCTAATGGGCCATTATGTATATGATAAATTTGTAACTAAAGTTCAATTTCTAAAATTCACTATGAAATAATAAGATAGATTGTATATAATCTTAAAGTAGTAAAAAATTAAAATAGTTAACTTAAAATTAAAAGTATGAATATGCCACTAGATATCATATATTAATTGTCACCCGTAAGCTATTATTATGGGAACACCTTGTAATTATTTTTATGTGTACCTAGAAAGACGTGTATTTTTGTCATCTTGGATTTTTTTCGATCAGCAAAATATATAAACAAAAAATTAACCATTTTGGGCCCATGCAAGTCTCAAACTTGTTACCTTCGCGTTATTAGCACTACGCTCTAACCAACTGAGCTAATGAGCCAACACATTTTAAGACCCATATGTACATCATAAATATTTTATCCACCTAACTCATGAATATTTAAGATAGAAAAGATAAATATTATAAGAATATTGTTTAAGACAGTAAAACACTAACTTTTACATTGAGAAATGTTCGACAAATATTAAACTTAACTTTTTAATATTGATTTACTCATTTTATATGTTTTAACCGTTAAATTCCTAAAAAATAAAATGTCAACAATTCAATTTTTAAAGCGCAGTTGTTAAAAGGGACAACCGTACACATCGAAAGAGATTAGTTCCTTAGAGAGAAAGGGAGACTTGATAATTCAAAAAAACACAATTCTTAAAATATCGGCTTCTACAATAGAAGTATCTTCTCGCTTTTGGCATTATCAAATCTGAAAGGGACATAAATAAAAGCATATCATAGCAGCTCTTCCATTATAGCTTACATGCAACATAGTATCTGTAACGATCTGATTTTCTACCCTTGAAATTTTTTCGTTTAATTTAATCCTTTCTTACATATAGTCGTCACCTTCATTAAAAACTGTCAAATATCTCTCTTTGACAATACTCTTTATCCTATCGTATTATGATACAAAGTTATGTTGCGGAAAAACATAATTCATTCAATTAGCAATTATCACATACAACCAGTTATGGGTTTTCCGGAGTTATAAAGTCCATAACTACAAATCTCCGCATTATCCTAATCAGATTACATTTATCTCAAAATGTCATCAATTCAACTACAATGTCAAGTAGCAACAAAGACGAACAAATTGATAAACACAAAATCTCCCTAAGTGAGCTTCCTCCTCAAAATCCTTCATTTACCTACAATGGGATTATCATAACGACACAAAAAACACAGGGAGTAAGTCATTAGTTCGAAACTAACATCACATGATAATCCACATTCAAATACAATCAAGCTTTAATGTAATTCATAAACACACATACGAAATTATAAACTTTCAAATCATCTTCCTTTAATTTCCACTTTACTCATATTCATCCTATAGTATATATATCCCATAATATATATTCTATAGTATGCATATTACGTTCGTTCGAAACATCATCGGCCTCGTTCTTCATATCCACCCTATAACATATATATCCCATAATATATATCCTATAGCATGTATATTACTTTCTTTCTCAACATCTTCATTTTTATCGCTCATATTCACCCTATAGAATATATATCTCATACTATATATCCTATAACATGCATACAGCATTCATGTGACATTCACATTTCTCGTCATTCATATTCACACTATAGAATATAAATCTCATACTATATATCTTATAGCATGCATATGACTTTCATTTTGACATTCAGTTCTCATCCTTCATATTCACCTTATAGAATATATATCCCATACTATATATCCTATAACATGCATATGACTTTCATTACTCCGAGTCATCTTTTCATTGGGCCTCCCCCAACAATGTTACTTTCAATTGAGTCATCTTTTCATTGAGCCTCCCCCAACAATGTTACTTTCATCGGAGTCATCTTTTCATTGGACCTCCCCCAACAATGTTACTTTCATCGGAGTCATCTTTTCATTGGGCCTCCCCCAACAATGTTACTTTCATTTGAGTCATCTTTTCATTGGGCCTCCCCCAACAATGTTACTTTCATCGGAGTCATCTTTTCATTGGGCCTCCCCCAACAATGTTACTTTCATTTCTCTGAGTCATCTTTTCATTGGGCCTCCCCCAACAATGTTACTTTCAATTGAGTCATCTTTTCATTGGGCCTCCCCCAACAATGTTACTTTCATCGGAGTCATCTTTTCATTGGGCCTCCCCAACAATGTTACTTTCATTTGAGTCATCTTTTCATTGGGCCTCCCCCAACAATGTTACTTTCATATGAGTCTTATTTCCTTTGGTACTCCCCAAATAGATTGAATTCGTTTTGAGTCTTATTTCCTTTGGTACTCCCCCAAATAGATTGAATTCGTTTCGAGTCTTATTTCCTTTGGTACTCCCCCAAATAGATTGAATTCGTTTCGAGTCTTATTTCCTTTGGTACTCCCCCAAATAGATTGAAATCATTTTGAGTCTTATTTCCATTGGGACTCCCTCAAATTAGATTGAAATCATTTTGAGTCTTATTTCCATTGGGACTTCCCCAAATTAGATTGAAATCATTTTGAGTCTTATTTCCATTGGGACTCCCCCAAATTAGATTGAAATCATTTTGAGTCTTATTTCCATTGGGACTCCCCCAAATTAGATTGAAATCATTTTGAGTCTTATTTCCATTGGGACTCCCCCAAATTAGATTGAAATCATTTTGAGTCTTATTTCCATTGGGACTCCCCCAAATTATATTGAAATCATTTTGAGTCTTATTTCCATTGGTTCTCCCCCAATAATGTTACTTTTATTACCATAACAGAAAAGTCACGTATTTTCCAACATAATGCATAAATTACAAACGTATCATTTTAAACCATTACCTCTTTCACATACCTCATTCATATCAGCAAGTATGATTTAGAGATACTTATCCCTTACCTTGGTGAGTGTTGGGGATCGGTTCCGAGTAACTTTAAAAGTCTCCTCCGCGATTTCCTCCAACCTTAGGATCTTTCCTCATTTCCACCAATAACAACAATGTCAATCATTTATTCAAAATAGCACATAAGTAACTCGTATTTCCTCATCAAACATACAAGATATTTACATATTTTCAAGGTTTCCAAAACTACTTCAATACGAGTTTCCAAACATCTAAAACATACATATTCATCTATTTCTCTCTTTACTCATATTCTCATTTTGGGGTTTTCATAAACAACCCACAAAACCTTTCCATTCATCAAATACCAACTCTAAACCAAGAGTTTACAAGAGAAAAACAACCTAAAACGAACCATAACTCTAAAGGATGAGTTTTCATGGTTTCTCATATTTTGAAAATAGATCTAACATACCCAAAACAAGTTAGAGAGGAAGAAGAAGAGTTAGAAACAAGAGGTTTACCTCTTCGCAAGCTCTAAAATGAGTCATAAGGCTCCTTGCTCTTGAAAAGCTCCCTTCTTTCTCTTCTCTTCAAGTTCTAACCCTAAAATGTGTTTGGGGTTTCTATTTTTAAAGAGCAGTCGTCGGGTTCTCACTCAAGCGAGCCCATTCTCGCTCAAGCGAGAATCTCACAGTAGCAATTTTCGCTTAACGCATAGATGTAATCGATTACATGGATTGTGTAATCGATTACATCGTGTAAAATGCACATATCTGATGCTTTTATCTTCATGTAATCGATTACATGTATTGTGTAATCGATTACATCATGTAAAATGCACATATCTGATGCTTTTATCTGCATGTAATCGATTACATGTATTGTGTAATCGATTACATCATGTAAAATGCACATATCTGATGCTTTTATCTGCATGTAATCGATTACATGGACTGTGTAATCGATTACACTGCCCAAAATTGCCATTTCTCGCCCGGGTGATACAACTCTCGCTCAGGCGAGAATCCTCCAGTATAGCCCAAGATTTCACCCTCCCAGATGCACCTCTCTCGCTCAAGCGAGAATCTCTGGATCAAGCGAGGCTTCCAGGACTGATACTCTAATTTTTAAATACTAAAATTCGGGGTGTTACAGTATCATAATTCGTATAAAAAACTAAACAAAGTAGACACTATCCAAATATAAGAGAACCCTAAAAAAATTGTATGTGAGAACAGATAATAAGAAAACATAATAAAGTGTTGGTCCAAACAAGCTAGCTATGCAGAGGATGGCGACAAACCTCAGTGATGCATATTACCAATTTTGCAAACCCCTTATTGATCATTGGTTATATTATGCAGGAGATTATTCATATTCTCCATGAAGGTTTATCAATAGTCTTTTCAATCCAACAAAATAACAGCTAATTGTTCATGAGTCCAGTTTTCTTAAATGTAACTTATAAGATCGCACCTCAATTGGACAACCCCAAATATGCAAGAGTTTTAAGTTTGGTCTTTTAATAGTCCAAAGCTCATATAAGATTTTGTTAACTACTTTACTTTGTACCCTATTAAGGATGTAAAATGTGGTTTTTAAAGCTTCCCCCAAAGAGACTCTGGTAAGGAAAAATGACTAATCATAATTCTCACCATATCCTTAAGAGTTTGGTTTTGTCGCTCTGCAACACCATTCATGCTAGGTTTGCCTGACTTAGTGTATTGCATAACAATTCCACATTCTCTAAGGAAAAGCGCAAATGGCCCTGGACATTGTTCTCCTGATCTATCATATTTACCATAGTATTTTCTTTCCAAGTTGAAATTCAACTTCAGCCTTGAAAGACTTGAAAACTTCCAAGGATTAGGACTTATCATGTATAAGATATACGTAATCGTACCTAGAGTAATCTTCTATGAACGTAATAAAATAATGTTATCCATTCCAAGAAGCCATAGGGAAAGGACTACATATATTTGTATCTATTAGTTCTAAGACATCTTTAGCTCTTTCGACACCACATATATTTGTATTGTTTGTCTGTTTTCCCTTTATGCACTCAATACAGACTTCAAAGTCTGATAAATCTAAAGGGTCGAGAATTTCATCCGATACAAGTCTTTGTATTGTTTGTTTAGATATATGACATAAACCCTTGTGTCATTAGGTGGTTGGATTCTCCTTTAACTTTTACTTTGTACCACATGAATTTGTTTGCAATATTTCATTATTGGAATTAAAAACATGCATTACAGCTTGTCAATTAAAGAACTAAAACTAACAATATTTGAATACTGATAGGGTCTAACATAGTGTTATATAATGTATATATTAAAAGTTACAGTAAAAATTATATAAAATCTAAGAAACATTAAGAAAATAAGAAAGCTAAATGGTAAAATAAATAAAGATAGTTTATTTAGTTGATGAAATGGAACAATAGCTATTGTACTAGAATAGATAAGGGGTGTATGACATGACAAGGATGTTATAAACTTGGTTGACTTGGTGCAAAA